ACGTGTTTTTGTGTGGGCGAATTATTTTCTTGTTCAGAAAATCAAAAGGACATAGTATATTTGTTTACCTGCAGCGCAAAGGCAACTCCCCCCTTCCCCACCACCACCAGTTCATCACATAATTCTCTCTTTAACATTGCAAAAGTTCCACGGTACCTGTCTACAAGTAAAATTTACAGATATGAGGCCTTTATCACTATATTATATATTTTATACCCGTCATTAGGTGTTGAAGGCAATAAATCTTATTTTCTCTTTCGGTATTTTAAGAATCTGGGCCAGCTTGTTGACCTCACACAGAGGTCCTTCCTTTGTTTTGCTCTCCAGAAATAAAAGAAAGAGTTAAATAAAGTGACAAAATAAAACAAATTAGAGTAAAACTAACCTGGAACTAAACCTTATAGTTACAGTGTATATAAAACAAAGACTTATATTATGTTCTCCAGAGTATAAGTCTATATTTTTTAGATTCTAGAAATTTAGGAAAAAAAAGTGAGATCACCATCTTTACTTTACCCTGTCAATATTTGTTCAGGAGTAGATCCTTTTAGACATTTTAGACATTTTAAGAGAAGGATTTATGCTCTCTCTCTCTCTCTCTCTCTCTCTCTCTCTCTCTCTCTCTCTCTCTCTCTCTCTCTCCTCTCTCTCTCTCTCTCTCTCTCTCTCTCTCTCTCTCTCTCTCTCTCTCTCTCTCTCTCTCTCTCTCTCTCTCTCTCTCTCTCTCTCTCTCTCTCTCTCTCTCTCTCTCTCTCTCTCTCTCTCTCTCTCTCTCTCTCTCTCTCTCTCTCTCTCTCTCTCTCTCTCTCTCTCTCTCTCTCTCTCTCTCTCTCTCTCTCTCTCCTCTCTCTCTCTCTCTCTCTCTCTCTCTCTCTCCTCTCTCTCTCTCTCTCTCTCTCTCTCTCTCTCTCTCTCTCTCTCTCTCTCTCTCTCTCTCTCTCTCTCTCTCTCTCTCTCTCTCTCTCTCTCTCTCTCTCTCTCTCTCTCTCTCTCTCTCTCTTCTCTCTCTCTCTCTCTTCTCTCTCTCTCTCTCTCTCTCTCTCTCTCTCTCTCTCTCTCTCTCTCTCTCTTCTCTCTCTCTCTCTCTCCTCTCTCTCTCTCTCTCTCTCTCTCTCTCTCTCTCTCTCTCTCTCTCTCTCTCTCTCTCTCTCTCTCTCTCTCTCTCTCTCTCTCTCTCTCTCTCTCTCTCTCTCTCTCTCTCTCTCTCTCTCTCTCTCTCCAAAGACATCCTTGTCCTCCCTCTGGTGATCTCATAGGGCTCTCGCGTATTTTTGGCTCTGCCATCGAGGGTCAGCCACTATGCCCCAAAAGGTTCCATAATAACCTTGGTCACGGTGAAGCCACAAGGGACATCATCCTTCTTTTGTGGGAGGGTGGATGAGTTAATGATCTGGTGAGGGCACCTTGATTAAGGCACTGGCAACACACACAATTATTATATTTACTCAGGGGGGAACCATCAACTCGGAAGAGGAAGGGAGGGAGGGGAATGGAAGGCTTGGGAGGTTAGGTATTGTAAACGAGAGAGAGAGAGAGAGAGAGAGAGAGAGAGTGTGTGTGTTTTTTTCCCCCTGGGACGGCACTTGTATTTTTCTATACCTGTCTGTATGCTTATCTGTTTGTCTATTTTTCCATCGTGTTGTTTCTTCTTCCTCTCTCTTTCTCTCCCTCTCTCCAATATGACCCGAGATATCAAAATCCTCATCAATTTTGTTTTGTAATATTTTTTCTCTCATTGTACTTGAACACCATGATCATGCACCGCGTTCATTAGTCGGTCGTTTAGTATGTGGAATTATCTACCTTCAGACAAGTATTTGAAATAAGGTCATACACATAAGGTTACACAGCTCAAATTTTTCATTTGTATTTTCGTTATCTAAGTATTATTTGATTTTAATAAGAGGCTACTTGTCATTTACCAGTATGTATCCCCACAGATTAAACAAATAATAAAAAGTGTTTTTGAATCTTTAAAATCTAGACTAATTACAAAATGTTATTGGTAAAAATAATAGTGAAAGTAATGTTTAATGCAAAAGTATAATAATAATAATAATAATAATAATAATAATAATAATAATAATAATAATAATAATAATAATAATTGACAGATACAGTAAATACCACTCGAGGTATTCCTTGCATGATGATCACTCGAACACAGAGGGTAGATTTGGATTCAGAATCAGGAAGGGCAAGAACAGAAAGTGAACTAGAGTCAGCGAAAGTAAGGGTAAACACGGAATCAGAATCAGCGAAGGCAGGGGGAAACACGGTATCATAATCAGTCAGTTCAAAAAGGTATAAAAGAGAATAATTTAGTCTAGGATAAAGATCGAAGAGTGTGTAGATGAATTACAAAACTAATTGTTTCTTCTCTTATCATGATTCGTAGATATATACACAAAGCAATAAATAGTGGAAAGGTTATCTGCTGAGAGATGGATCCGTGATAAAGGTACATTGCAGTCACTTCTGATGAATCAGCCGATGGTAATATAGATTACCTGCTGATAGATTGGACAGATATATATTCACCAAAACTAACGAGTGTGCTTAAGGAAAAATAATCTCACAGAGACTAAAACGTAATAAACGCATCGACAGGAATCCATTAAAAGCAATGAGAGAACCGCAGATAAGAATCTAGGACCGATTGCATGCTACGAAAAAGTAAAAATGTTTTGGATTGGTTTCATTTGCAGGAGTGAATAACGTTGTATCTGCCACGCCGTAAGTCCGCCCGGCCGTTATCTTAAGGTTTCCAGACAAACTCTTTATTTTCTCTAAGCCCGGGCTATTTTCAGCCGTGTGGCCAAGGAACATAGAAGTGATTGTTATCTCTTTTTCAGGAGTGGGGGACGAGTTTTTGGTAAAGGCTATACGCTTGAAGAATAGCGAGTTTAATTGGTAATTTTTGGATTTGTCCCTCGCGTTTATTTGCATTGATTTGGATTGGTGTCGGGCGGCGGGCGGGGGGAGTGCGTGTTAGGGACCTCCAACGACACTGATGCAGCGTCATTAACGTCGGCCCAGACGGGATTTACGGCGATCATTTTAGTCCGTTCCTTTGTAATGAGTCTGTTTATTCTCTGTCTGCTCCACCAGTCTCGCGTCTCTTCTGCACTTACCTCTAATTTATTTACAATTTCTGGTGCGTTCACTCCCACGTGGAATTTGTAACGCTATTTTAACTCGGCGTCTATAACTTATATTCATCAGTCAATAATACTAATCGCTTGACTAGAGAAAATAGTCTTTAAACATCTTCCTCCTAACCACTTCCGCCGCTCAGGGTCAGCTTACGAGGGATTAAATGGCCAATATCAGTTCCAGCAGTAATGTGAGAACAGAATAGAGCAAAGTTTCTTGGAACCTTTTACGTCCCATGATGATAATACTATTACTGGAAGGCTTTATTTCATACTGCACACTACAGTAAATAAGGGGAACATTTACACTCAGTTAGGTTAGGTTTGTGGTTACGTTGGTACCCCGTGATCCCTGTTGCTTATAACGTAATTTCCTTCATAAAAACATGGATACAGACATTTATAAGTGGCGACATTATTGCCTCGCCTTTCGCTCATTATTTTACCTTTTGTTTTATTTTCTCGTTTGATGAAAGTTGACGCAAATGTTTATATTTCAGCAGATAATGTTATACCAGTGAGTCCTCATAACGTTAGTAGAGATGATTAGGGCGTAAATCCTCAGTTTTAGGAGAGATTAACGATTATCTGGTTGAAGTACTTGTTGGTGATATATGCCGTTTTTACACTTCATTAAAATACCCAAAAACATTAAAAGGCATTGTCGTAGTATTATTTTCTTAAAGGGGGCTTCAATAACTAAAACCTTATCTTTCTCTGCTAGTTGTTACAGTATTAGTAACGGAAGTAGTTGTAGTCGTAGTAACATAAGAAAATACTGTATGTGGTCTTGTTACACACAGTAAGCTGTACAGTATAGGGGAGTAGATAATACCGGACTGTTTAATGCATCTTGAGTTTCCGCATAAACTTTTCTTAATGTGTGGAGGAATGTTTACTAACCCAAACACGGCGAGTCATACAGACTGTTTGACTGATATATGGTAATCCACTTCCTCACTCTACTGTCAGTTACTACTCGATGGCTACACAATCACAGGTAACTTCGTTCAGTTAATTTCGTTGTAATGCAGTAAATGATGCTTCCATATTTTTTAATCGTTACGTGTCTTCTTGTTGTTTCTATAATCCTTCTATTGCTTTAGGGGGAAGTGTGAGAGCGTGTCGGGGGGTAATTGCTGGGCCCAGGCAGTGAAGTGGTCACTCATTTCCTTGACCCCGTAAAGGTCACCAAAGAAAGGTGATAAATGGTGGAAAATATTTAAGAAAAATGACCAAAATTTGTTCCTACGTTGTGTCAGGCGGGCGGGCGGAGCGGGGCGGACTGTACTGACCAAGTAAATATGTCTTTCAGTGAGTTAATCAGTCAGTCAGGATTTATTTTCATAAAGCTGGCTGGCTCAGCTGAAAAGTTGTGTTGACTCCTGTGGTTTGTTACTTGTCCGATAACATCAGCTGTGAATTGATGTAAATAATAGGTTGGAGGGAAAGTTGGGTTTATAAGTATTTCTTTTATGTGAATTACCCGTCATTTTGCATGCTAATATTATCCCATTTTCGTGTACACTTTATCTTGAAATAAAAAATATAAATGCATGTAAACGTGTGTGTGTGTGTGTGTGTTGGCTCCAATACATCACCGGACGGTTAAAGGAAAGGAGATGTAAAAACTGGTTCAACGCTCACCGGCAGCTCCAGAAGGTAAGCTATTAATTTACTCCGTGTACGTTCGTATGTCCGGGTTGATTTTACCTCTTGCACCTTCCTTGCGTTGTGGGTTCAAGCGAGTGATGGAACATTATTGCGGTGTGTGAGGGATCCATTATCGTCTGTGGGTTTTGTGTCTGTGGGTGGACTGTTATTTACAAGGGGGGTTAAGTGGGTTTCCCACAGGATGGTATGATGTGTCTAGTGCAGTAGCCTGATGTCAGCGTTAAGGTGCTTGTATGCAACTTCTTGTTGTCACCTACTGCCGCTGGCTAGCCCTTTGGTGAAAAGGGGAGCAGAGTGCGTAAGACTTCCGCTGCCAGTACACAACCTCTCTACCATCAAGACTCCTGCTGTGCCTCCTGCCTTCGGGCTCGGCAACCCCCGGGTACTGGGTGTCTTGCGACGCCTTGCCAGACCAGCAGGGGATCTCGGAGCAGCAGTGGGCCCCAGAGGTACGGCGTGCAGGCCCACTGGCGTGTGGACACGCCCTGGCGCCTACCAACCACTGCGCGTCACCAACGAAAATAACAACCTTGAAATTGTCCCGCACTTCACATACATCGACAGCGTTTTGGAACTCAGCTGCAGTATCGACGACGATATCCAAAGAAGCTTGCAAAAGATCTTGTGGCTAACATGGAAAGACAAAGTGCCTCACACCGAAAAACTCGAACAAGCCAACACAGTCAACATAGATGTCATATCTTCTGTATGCTTGACAGCCGTCTGCCTCGCCAGATGCTATTCCGGCAACTCGATCTGCCGGCGTCCCACGCAAACGCTACAAAGACCACATACAAAATAATCTAAAAAAATGTAACGTCAGATCCACCGGCCAAGAGATTAATGCTGCGCAACGCAGTAACTAGCGATCGTTGTGTCAGACGGGCGTCCGACACTTTGAGGATCAGTGGGCCATACTCCGTCAGGAAAATCGGCGGAGAAAACACCAATTTGTTGCTGCAAAAGATGTTCCCAGAGTCCCAGTCCTCACATGTCAGCATTGTGGCAGGATGTATACATCTCGCATAGGATTCCACAGCCACCTGAAGTGGTACGAACGCCAACAACAACGTCGACAACATTCAACAATCATCATCATCTACTGGGAGCATCGTCGTCATCAACCCCGAAGGACAGCCTTAGGCAAGTAAGTAAGCACTTACCAGTGTCTGTGGGTGGGCTGTCTGTGGGCAGATTGTTGTATGCGACCTTGTTGATTTTGTGTCTGCTTTAATTTTTGTTTTTGACTGCTTATTAGTTCTGTTTCTGCGAGGTTTAAAATCAAGTACTATCATGATTTAGTTTTTGTGAGTGTATTATTATATACTACTGTCTGTTGATTTGATTCTGTAAGAGGAACATCATCTTGTGTATCAGTGTATTTGTCTCTTGTATCTGGGTGTGTGAAAACGTTAAATTGTTTACTCTATTTTAACATCTTTGAGGAGGAAAGGATTGATCCATCGTCCTCAAGGGGTTAACTCTCCGTCTTAGATATTCTAGAGTGACTCCCGATTTACATTTATAAAGGTCCTTGTGTTAATTAATTCATAAATCATAACACAATAAATAATGAATAATAATTTACTCCTAGATGTTTAAATGTTTGTGTTTAATTTTGTTGTAAGATGTTAATATTACCTTTATAATTGGAATTCTTTGCTGTAAGGGACTAATGAACAGTATTTGAAGACCTATGACGTCATTTATTGTTTGTATTAAAGCTGAACGATGACAGACATTAACGTAATCCTCGTTTTCTAAGACAATGTAACACAGATTTCATTTCACTGTATCTATTATATTTATTCATAGTATGGATGCCCATATAACTATACATATACATAAACAACCCGGGTATCTAAATTTAGCTCCACTTCCCCCATCAGTATTGTTAACGTATATTATGACAATGTAACATTCATTATTTTGAAGGACATAATTTTCAAACATTCTTAAATAACAATCCTTCTTAGTAATACTTTTATACTTTGAAGTAAACTTTTCTACGACCTTGGAGATGGGTTCATAATGTTTAGTTTTCTATAAATGTGCCCTTTATAAACACACACACACACACACACACACACACACACACACACACACACACACACACACACACACACACACACACACACACACACACACACACACACGATGTCCCCGTTAAGTAATAAATTGTAATAAATTCAAAACACAAACACAGTAAAAATTAAACGAAGAAACTAATAAAACAACAACAGATCAGTACCACACAGAGTCACCAGGACAGACAGACATCATTTTATAGACTGGTGTTGATTCTCACTACTTCATAAGAGGCCAACCATTTCGTTATAACACTTCGAATATTCTTTTAAAATTTATTCACCCTATAGTGTTTCCACCCCTCCCTTTCTCTCCCCTATAGTCCACAATTTTTTTTCCTCTGCTTGGCTTAATACTCCGAACTTTACTACGTATCTCTAAGAAATGGACACGAGGAGCCATAAAATCTGAGTTATTTTTAGCGAGTTAACGCGCTGGGGAAGGCTCTACCGCCCCTGAAAAAAAGCTCTTACAATAAGAACTGAAGTGAGTTATCTTGACGGTAATGGATCCAACACACACACACACACACACACACACACACACACACACACACACACACACACACACACACACACATACAGGCGCGCACGCGCGCTCGATGGGGAGGGAGAAGGAGGAAGTGAAGGTGAGAAAGAGTAGGAGTAGGAGGTGGAAGTGAAGGGAGTGGAGCAGGAGGAAGTGGAAGACACATAGTAGGAGCAAGGGAGGAAATGGAGGAAGAGAAGGAAAAGAGCCAGGAGGAAGAAGTGGAGGCGGAATTGGAGGATAAGATAGAGCGGGTAGAGGAAGAGAAGAAGGAGATTGACAAAAGCCGAAGGGAGAAAGGGTAAGAATACAGGCAATGGCAGAAGATTCGAAGAGAAAAATAGAAAGAACAGTGGAAAAGGAGGACTTGATATACTTTTTAAGGCAGACGAAATATATCAAACTAAAGAAGAAAATTATTAAAGTAGATTATATACATATAATTAAATGAAGAAATATATTTATAACAGCTAAGTGAGATAAAGTACTCTGGCAATCCCTTGAGTACAATGAATAAGTCTATTGATTAAGATATATTAACCCCTTGAGACCAGTGATTATATCCCTTAAGTACAACGACTTAACCATTTGATAACACGGCCATATTCCCTGAGGTACTCGAGGGTTACGCCATCACACTCGAGAAATATTACAGTTAATCTTGGTTCATCATGATAAATTAAACGTATATAAATATTACTAATTATTCGTCCAGAAAATTCCCTCCATAAAGTATTTTAATTTGTCTGATATTTAAAACTATTTTTTTTTAATTAGACATTTAAATGAAACCCATTTTTTTAAGTGACTCGCCTGGGAATATGTATATTCACACGTTATGTAAATTCCATATTGACAGATCTATTATACAAAGGGAAACATTTTTCTCTTTTAATGATGAATAAGTCATCGAGGCTGTACTCCCAAAACACTCAAATCCTCGTTGAAAATAATATGAGTGGTGAGGGAACGTCACTCTGTATCTGGCACCGAGCGTCCCATGTTTACTGCCATGAGATTGATAGGAATTCTGTAAAATGAAAAATTTGCTTTAGCCGCATCAAAATAGGGAGGGTACGACTGCGTGTAGCTGTTAAGAGACCTAGTTTTTTATAGGGAGAGATATAGACATATTCGAACAGTAATGGAAAGATATATTTTGTTTCTAGTTTTATACATAAAATTTGTATTATATTTAGCTGTATCTGTCATTTCTGTGAACACCACCGCTAACTGACTGACTCTCTCACTGGCAGAGTACGTTGCCTCGGGCTGTATAGTGACGACCAGTTTATTGACAAGCACGGACGAACGACTAAACTACCAGGTAACCAACTTAGAGAATAGAAGCATATAGAGAAACACACATATATATATATATATATATATATATATATATATATATATATATATATATATATATATATATATATATATATATATATATATATATATATATATATATATATATATATATATATATATATATATATATATATATATATATATATATATATATATATATATATATATATATATATATATAAACACATGATTAGGATGTAAATGTAGCGTATTATTGACCATTTAATGTACATATAATAAACTGTATCTCTACAAAGAGTTTCACGAGTACTGACGAAGAGTATTGTTATTCTATCGTCTCTCCAGGACAGTGAATGGTGGTGTTCACAACGGAGGTGAATAAATAATGTGCATCTATCTCCATAACGCACACGCTATAACAACACTCCACAAGCCACTACTCTTGGCCTCTCCTTGATGACAGACTACTGGGATGATTTACGAACTTCGACTGGCGATAAAAGTCTTGATGACATGAGGCTGTTAGAAGCGTGGCCGAAGTAATGTTCCTCTAAGTAAGGTAAGGCGTTGATGTTGTTGTTATAAGCTTGGGTTATTATTGGAGTGTGAGGAATAGTTTGATGTAGAGGAGGGGTGAAGTTGTGTTTTAATGCATTATGTTGTAGTAGGAGAGGTATTAGTTGTTGGAGTTGGTTGTGGTGGTAGTATTATCTGAGGTGGTAGTTACTTGTAGCTGTGGTGATAATAGAAGTAGTAGTAGTAGTAGATGAGGTACTAGATGTAATATTACGTACTTAAGTAACCTACGCTGACTCCAGGTAGACAACTATACGAAGTCGACAAATCTAATTGGAATCAAATCCAATTTAATTCGAACTGATTATAACGTTGTGAAAGCGCCTTCCATACAGGTGATTACAGGGCATTAAAAGAGGAGTTATTTCGTGAGTGTTTCAGTCTGAGGAAGTTTTACCCACAGGGCGAAGCGTAAGAAGCATTATCATGATTAAAAGCAACTTGACCTTGTGTCTTGTCACTGCAAAATCCTGTCACGTTCGTTTTGCAGAAGAAAATCTCGCCAAAGATAAACTAACTTTTCTTAATTTTATTTACGCCAACCTAAACTAATCTTGGCTAACTTACTGTAGATTAACTCTTTTATGTAATTCAGCGTTTTGGACAAAGGTATTAAAGGAAAAATGAGATGGTGTGATTTAATTCCACTGTACTTTATATCGATAATGTGATTCCTCTCGCAGAAAACTGGATACTTTGATACTTTCTTGTGATTTCCTACTGGGCTTCCTCGCTCGTACAGTACATCTAATATTTAGGAATCACTTTACTATGTTCTTCGCAGAGTGAGAGAAACTTCCTCATCTGCCATTACCCTGACTATGCACTGTGTTCTGACCGAGTAAAAATTTCAACAAGATTTCTACGTTTAAGTTTAGCGCTTCATCACCGGCGTTGAACTTTTCATTTATAAGTCTTTTTGTGAACATATACGAGATCTGGGATACAGTTCATAATTACCTGATGAAAGAGTTAATAGATGTAACTTGGCAGTCCTGGTGAACTGAGAGACAGCTTTGTGTTCAAGCTCTTTTGCTTCTTGAACTGAAGACTCAATTTTTTTTAACGCCTCAACTTGTTTCGTACTGATTAACAATGCATTTTGGTCTTTGATTACCGATAGTAAATTGCAATGCAGAATGAAACACAGAAAAACTAAAATGAAAGACCATAGGCACCAGCGAGGTCATTGTGGGGAATTTTGGGACTTCTAGGCAGTCTTTGCGAAGTGAGTAGCTCTCAGAGTTTGGGAAACAATATTATTATTATCGTATACAAACAACGACTCGTGTCCTTAACCTGTTGAAACGAGTAAATCAGGTGTGTGTGTGTGTGTGTGTGTGTGTGTGTGTGTGTGTGTGTGTGTGTGTGTGTGTGTGTGTGTGTGTGTGTGTGTGTGTGTGTGTGTGTGTGTGTGTGTGTGTGTGTGTGTGTGATAATACTAATACTAATGTTAATGACCATGATGCAATTATTATTGAAATGAAAATGAAAAATTGATATAATAATAATAATAATAATAATAATAATAATAATAATAATAATAATAATAATAATAGCAAAACCAACCATATTAACTACAACACACCACTGACATCATTTCCCTCCCTCACTGTACGAAATGAGTATAACAATAATCACAGTTTTAAGAAAGATGTCCAGGGAAATATTGCGTGGCACCAAATCTTTTTCCTATAAGCTTCTCTTCCTGGCTGGTGGATCCTAAAGAATTTGGCGAGTGGCAGAGAAGATACTGGTTAAATTAAACTGTCAAAACTTCCCTTCCCATGCTACGAGTATTGCTTCGTCCGCTGCTTCTTGAGAGAGAGAAAACACGAACATAATGTAACGAGAGAGAGAGAGAGAGAGAGAGAGAGAGAGAGAGAGAGAGAGAGAGCTATCGGGGAAGGAAAAGGGAATACGGGGAGGAAGGAGATGTGAAAGGGTGGTTAGATAGAAAAGTGGAGCGAGAAGAAGAGGAGAAACAGAAAGACAGTGAGAGTTAGAAGGCAATGAGAAGATAGGGAGAAAATAGGTAGAAGGAGAAGAAAAGGGATAGTAAAGGTGAAGCGAAAATAAATCATGATTTATAGACAAAAAAAAAAAAGACAAATATTCAAAGTTAGTAAAGTTTGCTAAAGACGAATAAAGGATGTAATTGAGATGAAAGTAAGTGGAAATACACAAAGAAAAAAAACAGACTTAAAGCTTAAAACAAAGACTGAGAATGAGCATAAACGGAGAACGATCGGGATATGGATATATTAGAGAATGAAAAAATAAAATACAAAGGAATAAGGAAAACGAGAATTAAAAATAGGGACACTTTTTATTGCAATATTTTGGTGGTGGTTTGCTAAGTACTGTGACTGTCAATGGATAATTAAGAAAATGACGGGTAATCTCCCTTCTAGCACTTAACTTAAAAAAAAAAACCTACCTTAATGACCAGCTCTCTGCAAAGTTGTCTGACGAGGAAATGGACTCCGCCAGAGAAGACAAAGACCTCATAAATTATGGAATCCCTTTGAGGGAACATACTTTCTGAAGGCAGGAAAATTATGACGTATTAGAACAAACGCCTCACGTGTCTCAGATAAAAGGCTTTTAGTTACCAGTGGACTGGAAGACCGAGTGTTCATGCAAACGCGCGGGCCATTAGCATACCCGAGTAGATGGCGTCGGTGACCTGAAGGGTGAGGAGCTGACTGTGTGTATGTGTACTGCCACCTAACGATGCTAATAGTGTTAAGAGCTGAAACACTAATGATAACGACTGTTTAATACACAAGTAATAACGGTGTCAGTAACCTTTAACCTTTTAGTGTAACGACAAAAGAATACAAAGGACAAACAACATAACAAACAACATGACAGTAATACCTCATGATTGATCTTAGTTCTAGCATGTGTCTTTGTTATCATGTGTACTGTACTCTGATATACAGTTTAAGCATGACTTTTTTTTATTTTCCATGTGTACTTCTGGTAGTTTTCTTCGTATGTACGTCTGAAATTTTTTGTTTAATGTGTGTTTCTGAGGTAAAATTTTCGTGTGTAAAACTAATTAAATAATTTTGTGTGCACAAGTGATTTAATTTTTGTGTATACATCGGATTTTGATTTGACACGTGTTCATGGGATTATTCATGTTTACATTTAATGGTTTTGTTCGTCGTCCAAGTGTCTCTCTCTCCTCCTCGTCACTGCTCGTAGTTTTACCATTTTGTGGTCTTGTAACCTTTCTCTTTTTGACCATTTATCACAGCAGACTGTAACTGTTATTAAGTGTTCACGCTCAAAGGTGTGTTTGTGCTCGCTGGCCTGAGCTTGTGTCACTGTTCGTGTGCAGTGAAACGGCACCATTAAAATTTTCAAACGTACATAAAGTTTCATTTCATATGTAAATTAGCTTCTATTATTTGCCTTGCCAAAAGTGGAAGCTCCGGCTAAAATGTTCGGTTTTCGTGTGTGTGTATACATGCATACATGTTTATGTGATATAAACCTGTGTGTACTGTATGTTCATATACTGTATATAATGTCTGTGTACGTGCATATAATTATATAAGCATGTACAGTATATATGCATGTAGGTATGGCTATCGTCAGAGTATTTCTGTAGTCAATAATCTAATTTCAGTAGATCTTGGCACACATGCAGGGGGGGGGGACGCTGGTGTACTGTAATTTAAGGTGTGGTATCAATTAAGTCAAACTGAGGTCAAACTGATATCACGGAGAGTTTTCTGAGTGAGGCTCTTGCTGCCTTTGTCACTTCATGATAACTGCATGCCAGTCATTGTTATCATGCCGCCCCATCCAGGTGTGTGAGAGAGAGAGAGAGACAGAGACAGAGACAGAGAGAGAGAGAGAGAGAGAGAGAGAGAGAGATATAATAAATTGAAAGGGTAAGATATTTACTCGTATGTACAGGGAAGGAAGTAACATACAGTGTGACATATTCATAAACATAGACAATGGCAGAGAAAGACAGTAATCCTCAGAGAGACAAATAACGTGAGACAATGAGACAGACAGACTAACAGATAGACAAACAGACAGAGAGGTCACGAGGTTGCAGGAGGTGAGGGTTAGGTGACCTGGCCTCATAATAACACAACTCTGGCCTGTTGACAAGACGCCTCCAGCACCAGGCCAGCGCCAACATTATCATTTAAAACACCACCCATTTTCCCATGTTGCGCCATGTATTTTTGAATGCAGAGAAATTCTTATTTTTTTCCGGTAAGTATCGCTTGTATTTTTCTGCATAATAATCATTTCTGGCGTTTTTTACCCTCCCTAGTATTTGCATATCAGATTGAGCCCCGCTTTGAGGAGCCGGAACGCAGGAAAACTTCGGGGGAAATGTGAACGTAAAACTGACTCGTTCTTATCGCTGTCAGGTTCATGCGTTGGTTTAATCTATGTAGTGATGTGTTTAATAGTGATATTGATGATAATGATAGTAACATTACTACAACTACGTAAATATTTGTTAAACTCCAGCATTATCTTGATGGTAGACAGTGGTTATGGGCTTTAGGAACGCGCGTTTGTGTGTGTGTGTGCGTGTGTGTGTGTGTAAAGATGACGTTTATACAGTAATGGCTTCGTTGGCATAACATTCAGTGGTATCCCAACTTTAAACCCCTGAATTTAATCACTTATAAAAACACAAATTCAAGTATATATGTCAGATGAATGTGTTGGCTATAATCCTTCAAGACAGTTGAATGTGTGTAAGTTCAGGGGTTTAAAATCTTCTTGGCACCGATTCTTTGGCTCCTGTACACACTATAAATGTCTTCTTCACACACATCACATACAAGATCCAAAAATCATGGTCGTGTTTTAACCCTGAACTCAAGATACGAGTTCTGATGAACATTTTCCCCCTTCATAGTATCAACAACGGATTAAGGTTACCAGGAAACACAACACATCTCCCGTCACGTCACAACAAAGTCCAAG